TTCCGATATGTTCCCGATTTCTTCTCGGTTGGTTCCGGCAGCATCTCCGACGATTCTTCGAACTCTTAAACATCCATCGATCTTGACTCCGGTATTCTTGCTTTGTGTTTTCTGGTTATCGTAGTTAATCCTGCACACTTAACTCAATAATATGGATTAGATCAAATAACCCATCAATTGATTTTATCATCAAAATCCGAGATTCAACAAGGACCTCGTTGCACTCTTTGGCGCGTCCTGAATGGAGATATTTCTCCAAATAAGGGGAAAAGGGTTACTCAGGGCCCCCAACCCGATGAAAAGCCCGTGGGAACTCGCCTACCAGTCCAAGTATTGCCGCTTCCACCGGCAAAGCAGGCATGATACTGAGGAGTGCCGCGAGCTGAAGCAGCAAATCGAGGAGCTCGTCCGCAGAGGACACCTCAATCGGTATATCCGTCGGGACAGGGAGCTTTCGCCCCATCCGGAAGGCCCTGTGGAGTGCCAAATCGACGTCATCACAAGAGGCCCAGCATCCGGAGGAAACAATATGTCCGGAAGGAAGGCATACGCCTGCTCCGCCAGGGCCGATGCTCCCCAACGTAGCCTCGACCCCGAGGTCGCGTTCCCTCCCGAGGGTGCTGAGCGATCAGAGCATGACGATGCACTCGTAATAACAGCTCGGATCGCTAACACCCAGGTAAGGAGGATCATGATCGACACGGGGAGCTCAGCTGATGTGCTCTATCTTAACGCTTTTCGGAAACTTGGGTTGGCTAAAGAAGCCTTGGAGCCCATGTGCTCAGTGCTCACTGGGTTCACCGGCGACTCGATCTCGCCGTTGGGAGCTATCACCCTTCCCCTGACTTTGGGAGCGTCACCCAGATCGAAGACGGTGATGTCCACCTTTTTAGTGGTGGATCTCCCTACTGCATACAACGTCATTCTCGGATGCCCACCCTCAACAAGATTAGAGCTGTAGTTTCCACCTACCATCAGATGGTGAAGTTTCCGACCCACGCTAGGACCAGGGAGGTCTGGGGAAGCCCCCGGAGCTGCCCCTGCGCAGACCTCCTCAATCTGTCGACGCAGCTCCGCGTTGTGGTCACTCAAAATGCCGAGGACCCGACCCGCGTCGCGCACGCGGTCCATCAACGCTGTGGTATAATGATGGCCCTGCAAAGAGAAAGAGTCAGGACAAGTAACGTTTGGGCATAGGCAGGAAGTCGATAGCAAGACGCTTACCCACAGCAACGACTTAGCAGACTTGCCCAGCAAAACGTCCGAGAGCATGGTGTACAGATCCCAAGCCATATCGGGATGAAGCCCACCTCACACGAAGGAGGCTGCGGCCTCCCCGTCGGTCCATACCCGGGTCCCGCGGGTCAGGCCCGCCCACCGGGCGACCAGCGGGTTGGAGGGCTAGCCCTCCGAAAGTCCGCCCATCAGCAACGACTTAGCAGACTTGCCCAACAAAATGTCCGAGAGCGTGGTGTACAGATCCCAAGCCATATCGGGATGAAGCCCACCTCGCGCGAAGGAGGCCGCGGCCTCCTCGTCGGCCCATACCCGGGTCCCGCGGGTCAGGCCCGCCCACCGGGCGACCAGCGGGTTGGAGGGCTGGCCCTCCGAAAGTCCGCCCATCACCCGAGCTTGATAGGGCTCGTCCTGCGCTCCCGCAGGGAGGCGACACAGGTCGCAGATGGAGGGTTCCTGGGGTGCCTTCCTTGCCCCTTCATTGCTCGGGCCGGCCTCACCCCGACCAGGGCCCTGTCGCCGATCACGATGGCCCTGTTCGACAATGACCTCCTTGGCCGGAGCTAGCGACATATCCTCCTTCTCGATGCCGATCTTCGATTTCTTCCGGGGTCGTCTGGCCTCGAGTTCTATTGGCGCTTCTTTTGAGCTAGCCCTTGGCTCAGTCGTTTGACGCGACGATGCGACCGACGAAGAACGCCCCCCGCGCACAGTGACGAGGTTCACCATCTCTGCACGAAAACACTGACATTGGTCGGAACACCAAAAATGATCTTTTGGAAAATCCTAACGCTACCCATTGCGGGCATACCTCGAGGCACCGGGCTAAGACCCGCCTCGACCAGCCACCCCTCGATCATTTTCCGAATAGCCCGGGAGGTTGGGAGAATCTCCTTAAGCTGCCGAAGGTCCCTGCGCTCCTCGTCGTTCAGGGCCGGGGCGGTGTTGTCAATCACCCGCGCCGCCCACCAGAGCCTGAAGCCCCAGTCCTTCGAACGACAGACAAAAAAGAAACGCCCCTTCCATCCCTTATTACTGGAAGGAGCCCTACTAACCTGAAAGCCCGATCGGGCGGACAGATAGTAACCCCTCGACCCCTTGGAAAGGCGAAAGCAAGAGAGGAAGAGAGACCGGGTCGGGGCAATATTGGCGTAGTGGCACTCCCCTAGGAACGCCACCAAATAGCGCCAGGAGTTCGGTGCCATCTGTGACGGGGAAATGCGCCACTACGAGATAAAAGAGGTGATGACGGGATGCAATGGGAGGCGTAGCCCGGCCTCAAAGGCGTCTAAAGTTAAGGCGAAGCCCTTTGGGATAGGGTCGTACGCCCGCTGCCCTGGCTCAGGGGCAGTAAGCACAAATTCCTTCGGGAGACCATAATGGCCTCAGAGGTAACCAAGTGACGACTCGCTCACAGTCAAGTCGACGTCATGCGACCACATTAAGGCTTCGAGAGCCCTAGCCGCTTTTTCGTCGGATGACGAGTTGGGGCTCGGCGGCAATGTTTTCTCTCCGGCATTACCAAAGGTGGATGGTGAAGAAGGCAGGGGCAAGGAAGAAGGGGAAGCCATCCTTACCGACCTTAGGAAGGAATAGCAGGACAGTCGATTCGGACGAAGCAATAGGGTCCGAAGAAGCAACTGGGCGAATGAAAGTAAGGAGATGTGCAGGAAGCCAACTTCACGCTATTTATAGGCCAAATCCTGCCAAAATGGTGACCCTTCCTCTCCTGAAGCACGTTGCGTCAGGCAAACCAAACGTCACCTCACCATAAATGTGTCTTGACGTGGCAGCCGCCGGGCGCGCGGTGCGAATGCTGAAAGCGCTGGCCTTCTCAGCCTCGAAAATCGGCGACTCCCGAAAGTGACGGTCCCCTGGGCTTCCCCAAACGAAGAATGGCCTGGCCACCCGCGCCCACACGTCACTAAGCAATGAATTGCTGATCAAAACTAAGTTGCATCTCGGCTGCATGTTGCCTGAGACCACGACCTCTGCGCGGCCTGGCCACCTGAGTCGTGCTCCTCGGCTGCATGTTGCCTGAGACCACGACCTCTGCATGACCTGCCCGCCTAAGTCGTGCTCCTTGGCTGTGTGTCGCCCGAGACCACTACCTCTGCGCAG